TTGTCACCTGCTAGCAATGTATCAGCATGGTTTATAAGATATTGCCCTCCACTTTCCATCTCCATTATCTGTCAATAAACTTAAAGAACAAAACCCTTTGACTGTTTATATAGGTATACATCTAGATTTTTAATTCTCTGTGAAAGAGCACACCATTCAGCTTAAGAAATTAAATAGTGTCAAATTTTTGTATTTTAGAGGTTTTGAATGCTGAAAAAAAAGTTAATTTTTCATTTAATTGAAACCTTAGAAGACTCAGTTGTCAATTGCTTGCATTCAGAAAATCTGCTCTGTAAATAAGTGCAGGCAAATTCATCCCTGCTGAAACTTTATTGATTTGAAATTAAAATCAGCTTCTGGTAAATGATCCATATGGGAAATACACAGTTTGATTAATCAAAGGAAAGCATCCTTTCTGATGTGTGTTAGTTGTTGCTAATGCAGTTCTTGCAATTGTTGAAATTAAATGTGCAAAAATTTAATGGAATTTAAGAGTGGTGTATGTGCTGGTGCTAGATAATGGTCTAATGGACTGCATGTTAAAAAGCAGATATCAAGGCATGTATGAGTGTGAACCGTTTTGTGGTTTACATGACAATATAGGCAACTGTAGTCACAGTGCCAGATAAACAAAAAGTGGAGTGCTGTTCACACAAAGGGGAAATCTTTAAATCAATTTCTAGTCTATGTATTTCATAATTTTTAAAATGAAGCAAAAGTAGCTTAGCATCCTAATAACTACACAGAGCAAGTTTGGAAAGCTCAAGCATCGCCGAATAAATTTTCTTTCATCAGGGTTAAAAGTTTTTAACCTGATACAGCACTTCAGGCCCACTGAAACTATACTCAGGTATTTTCTACCCTAGATGTGCGATTTTGGACCATATCTTTAGTCACCTTGAATTTTGCTCTCTTGTGGCTATTTGATAAATTTGCTGAGTTTTTTTTTTTTATATTTTCAATGTTAGTGATAATGATATTGTCATCCCAGTGAAGCTAAGGAAATATGAAAGTAAAAGCTCTTTAAACATACATCCTAGCAGACAGGAACCGGGGTAATGAAATAATACCCATGCAGTGCTGTGATTTGTTTATATTGATGGTCATGGGAGAGGGCAGAGGATTTTTAACCTCCAAAAGCAAGAAAGGTAGATCATAAAATTTAAACTACATATGAAGAGCATAAAAATTGAATTTTAGAAATAGAATATCTAGACATATCTGAAAGAAAGCAAGTCTTCTGCTAGAATTTTAGTGCATAAATCCAGGACAGATTTCAAGCTGCAGTCTTGTTTATAATATGGTAGTTGTAATGATGAAGAAATTTTTGACTGAACTGATGAATGGTGCCACCTTATATAACTCCCACAAAAGAGCACTGTGCGTTGCTTGGAGTGGATGTGTGAGGAAATTCCCATATATTCCACTTAACTGACTTGAAAATAAATGTTATAATATTGTAAAAACAGAAATCAAAAATAATGGAATTTCACAGGCAAAATTTGAAATATGAAATATGCATGATTGCTTAGATTTTAAATCTAGAACAAATTAGTCAGTATTAATGCATTAAAAACATAAAAAAGCCTAGGAATTTTTTCAATCATTTAATAGTCAATTTATTGATGAATATCACATAAAATGAAGGAGGTTGTTTATCAATTAGTATGTATATGTGACTAATGGAAACTCTAAACTTTGATTTAATTCTCCCAGTAACCATTGATCTTTCATTTACTTATGAGCCATCAAGTAAAACTGGCAAGTTCTTACTAAAATGAAATGGAAAGACAGAGATTCATGAGTTAGCACTTCAGAAAAAATATTGGCATGAGACAGTGGAAAATAAAAAGAGTTAAAAGCCCCCTGAGATAAAATTCAAATAAAGGAACTCTACATACAGGTTTTCTCCCCTTTGAAAATTATTTTTCAGATTTGCTGTTAGTTTGCAACAAAAGATGTTTCATCAGTCACTATAGAACATAGATTCAGATGCAATTGAAGAAAACATATGCTTCATATTAAAGACACTGACAAAGAAAGAGAGAAGAGAAATAAGATGAAGACTTCAAAGTCAATAATTCAGGAAGTTTAGAGATTACAAAATTATGTTCCTGTAAATCTTAGACTATCCCTGTGTGTTCATACATTTTTGCACAGCCTTGTTTAGTATATGTGGTATCTGCATCCCTGTGAGAAGCTGTTTAAGACCTCTCCAGATCTCCCCAGAAACATCCACACCATACAGCATGAAATCTGAGAAACAAGATCCTTTTGACAACTATTTTGCAGCTAACTTCTGTGCATCACCATGCCCAGATGTATTCTACAGCCAAAAGCGAATAGAGTTTGGTACACTCATTAATCTTACTGCAAGGACAGGACACACTGTAAGGAATGCTGGGTGAGAAGCTAACATGCTCTACTAGTGCTTCCTGCAGGACTGGGCAAACATTTAATATCTGTGATGTTTCAGGTGGCAGTCAGATGCTGGGAGGACTCCTGGCTGCTGGACAGTCAGACAAAAGAGCTCATGAAGAGCCTTTGACAGAGAAAAGCATTATGTGAACCACTGTAGTGGTTTTTCAGGAAACATGTTGCAGCTTCTGCCTGGTGGTCAAGACATTGGGTTAATACAGGCTGCTGGAGATATGCTGCTTCTGCTCGGTGGTTATTATTCTTTATGGGTCATATATTGTATTGGTCAGAAAAGGGCTAATAGATGACTTCTGGGACTGCATTTTTACTGTAATCCCTCAAATCAAATAGCCCTGACATTAGAACACTGTGTATTTGTGTCTCTCTCTCTTCTTCTTTTCTGGATGTAGGGCAGCATGGTGAGGGGGTATAGACTACCTGGTGGCATGCCTTGCAAAAACTCCTGGAAAGTACTGTACTAAAGACAGGAGAACTTAACCTCAGGCTAGTACCAAGTAGTACTGCCATAACAGACTGATTTTCAGGCCTTTTTTTTTTTTTTTTTGACATCCTTCTAACTTCCATTACTTCATTCTGAATAAAGTTCTGCAGTCACCAAGGGAAGATGTTTTATCTCAGAAGGAGTTTACAAGTTATGTACTCAGCACAGTCTGCCAGACTACTCCTGTTGGCTGCAATTCAACCCTGCCTTTCAAGTGGAAAGTTCAAAAATGTCACCAAATTTAGCACGGTGACACCTAACTCTAAGAAGGCTTTGGGTTAACACAGCACGGCAGAATGTTGCTGTGTCTGTAAGTGTTCATGCATGAACTGAGGTTTTGGAAGTTAAGGTGGCAGTTAAGTCTTATGTGGCGTGTGTCACAGATACAGTATGTGATGTGAATGTGGACCACTCTGTCTGTGGGTGTAAGGGCCCTTATTTACCTCCCATGCCAACTGATTATAAAGTTTTCTTGTTTGATGCCAGCACACTGTTCTGCACAGCCACTAAAAGATGAAATTATGTGGTCATAAGGAAAAGCTTTCAAATCCGCTTGAGAGTAACTGAAATGCAGCCACTGAAATCATATATTTACATAAAATTCAAAATATTGATTTAGATAAAGAGGGGGAAAATACACATAGTTTTTGACTCCATAGTTTTAACTCCATAGTTTTAATTCTGTTACAGTTTATATACAGTTTGCTTATAAATATGTGGACAACTGTTTTACATATATGGGACGTTATGTTTTTCTCTCAGCTCTTTCTGCTTGGCTCTGTACAATGGACCTCACTTCTTCTGCAATGTATGAATACCTGTATAGTTTTCCACACCTTTATATTTAAATGACAATATTACATCCCTCAGTAAAAATTTCTTTTCTTTTTCTTTCCTAGAGGAGGTAATGTCAAGAACTTGACTCGTGACTCTAAACAGAATTAAGCAACATGTAGTATTTAGTTATGAATTTTTCTAAATCTTGAAGCCCATACAAGCATAAAATTGGATTGTAGCTAACTGATTGTTGTGGAAACTAGATATGTCTGTTCTGGTTCTGTGTATGCATGATTTAAGAATTTTTCAAGGTGCCTCTTACATTGTGTTTTTCAGAGTTAGATCTGAATATGTTCTTAAATAATGGGTATTTTTTAGTTTTTATCACACTCTTTTCTGGTAAAACTCACCAGATGTTGTGTCTGAATACTTGCATATTTTGCAATTTATTTCTGTAAATCAATGTTTTCTCTTATGAGATTGTTTGATTACCTACCCTTGACCTTTCCCACACAGCTTTACAGGGAAACTAGCATGATCTGAGTAAACAAAAGCAAAAAAATAAGGAAAACAAAGGAGCACTGAATTGATTTCTTTTCTTCCTTTTAATATTTTTCTGATTAGTAAAAATACTGAGATGTAGCTATGCAGACAATTGTACCTGTGCTTGAAACTGCATGTGTATACCTCATACTATTTTATCATTTTGCTTACAGATTTCTTGGTTATTTTAAAGAGCATATTCAAATTTGCCATCTAACTATGCTTTATTGTTTCATATGTAAGCTTTTATATCCAGGCCTCACATAACAGAATAATGCAGAATCACTGAGGTTAGACAGAATGTCTGGAGATCTTCTAATCTACATAGAATGAAACTGAGGTGTATAAAATAAAAATATAAAATTTAGATTTTTTTACTTAGAGTCTTGTTGGTAAAAATTATTCTGTAGAATTTATTGTAGAACTTCAAGAAAGACAAAATCCATTCCTAATAATTTAGAATAATTATATTTTGTTACAGGTATCTAGTAATCTAGTGTACATTTTCAGAATACTTGCTAAATAGTATCAAAATACTTTTGATGCAACTATATCTTGAATTAGAATCAGAGAATCATCATATTGCTTGAGTTGGAAGGGACTCCTAACAATCATCTTGTTTGAAACCCTTACATTGGAGATGGACATTTTTCATTAGAAAATATTGCTCAAATGACCTAATTTGTTTTTGTATATACTAGTTTCATGTTAACTTGCTTATTTTTAGAAATACTTTTCACTCTTTTTCATTGTTTTTAAGGTGCTGGTGGCTGGTCTCCACTTGTGTCCAACAAATATCAGTGGCTTCAGATTGATCTTGGTGAGAGGACTGAGATTACTGCTGTTGCTACTCAAGGTGGTTATGGGAGCTCAGACTGGGTGACAAGCTACCTTCTGATGTTCAGTGACAGTGGACAGAATTGGAAACAATATCGTCAAGAAGAAAGCATTTGGGTATGTACTTTCAATAATGAGAATTAAGTTTCTGCAAAAGATTTAAAGGCAACTTACTGCGTATAGTTGCAAATCTAAACAAAGCTGTAGAATATAAAGAACTACACTAAAAATGTTTAGATAATGAAATATACAAAGCAATTTAGCTCTTGAAAGGATGAAAGACAGTAAAAAGCAAACAAGCATCAAAATTCTAGCCATAGAAGTACTCCATTAAGACACAAGGAATTATTCTGAGGATTAAAAATGTACTACAAAACCTCTTTTGTCTTGCTTGTATGGCAAACTTCTTTTTCTCAAAAGCATTGATCCCAGTGCATGAAACTTGGTTTTTTGTTATGGTTAAAAAACAAAACAAAACGCTTTATTTTTTATGCAATGTTTAAACTGATTGTAAGAATACAATGAAACAACCAAAGGAAAAGAAATCTTAAGCAAGCAAATTCCAGTCTATTTAAAAAAGCAAATAAATTAAGCAATATTTAAGTTCTGGTCATCAAATTCAGAGTCTGGTTTCTGATGCTGTAACCTGCTTATCTCTGACCATCTTTGTAAATATGATAATTAATAAGCCATTAATAAGATCAAGAGTTTCTTTTTGCATGAATATAAATGACAGAAAAGTAGAAAAAACCTGAGAGATTGTGTTCCAAATCTGCATGAAAAAGTGGACTATATAATTTTAGAAAAGGCTTGCATTTTTCTTTGATCCCCGATAATTGGCAGCTTGGACTAGAGAAAGAGTATTGGAACTCGTGATATGTTATTGTATCCTGTCAAGTGAATTCTGTTCTCCATGCATAGAGCTGATTTATTTCTAAATTTTTCTAAGTCTTGTTTCTTGCTGCAGTTAAAAATTATGCTAAAATGTATTTCATTTTATGCATTTTGATTTTGTTGACTTTTAATTCAAAATGTTCATGTCACTCTTACTGTCAAAGCCTATCTATGGTATAATGAGATTATGCAGTGTTTTACTTGTTGCATAATTATCCTGCTTTTTAAATTTGCTACATACTTCTGCTTCAGATTGTGTTTTCATAACAAAGAGAAATAAATGAGTTTCTAATCCATATGGCTGTGGGGAGTTAGAAAATCAATCAATTTTCCAAATATTAAATGAGCATAAGCTGCTACAATATTGTCTTTGCTCATCTTAAGGCAGTCTGACAAAACATATCTGAGAGGTATGGCAGCTTGGTCTCTTCCATGATGGCTCTTTTGAAATTTGATATTAATATTGCAAATAATGATGCAGATTGTTATTTCTTGAATATTGCCACCAGTAAAATATCAAACGAAAGTTAAGAAAAATAGTTAAGTGTTGATACATACATTGGATAAAGGGGGTTGTTGGATCTGTATGAGCTAAAAAGTGAAGCTTCAATTCCATCATCTCAAACTTAATAAAAAATTATTATTTTAATGATTGCAATGCAGATTGAAGGTATGGCTTGCAGGCAGTAATGAATAATTCAAGGATGCAAACCATCAAATTCAGGGCAGTCTATTGATCTTTTTTATGTATCTTTATTTAGGAGTTCTGCTTCTAGGGGAATATATTTTCTCTTTTCTAAACTAATACACAGATGTAGTCTCAAAGTGAAACTCTTAAATCCCTATTTATTTTATAGATTTTCTCTGACTTATCTCTTTATGCTGGCTTCTTAAATGACATACTCAAGTTCATTAAGGCAAGAACCTCCAACATTTTATAAAGTGTACTGTGTTACTTCTATCTTATGTTTAACTGACTCATTGTCCTGTTACAAGGTTACTGACCAGAAGTAACTTTTGGGGTTTTCTTAATACTATTCTGCATTAGAATGATGGAAGTTGTTCAGTTCTGAGGGCGCTGTGTTGAAATCTTCACTAGAATTTTTACTTCATAGCCACTTTTTGTAGACTTAAGTAGAGATAATTGTCCGCAAATTCACCACTTCCTGCTTCCCATTTTTCTTTTCAGAAGATAGTTTTGAACTGTCTTTGTTTCCTTATGGCTTATCTTAAGGTTCTGAAACTCCTGTCACTGTGCAGCTATTACAGCTTTTTCATCCACTGTAAAATTTTTATAGCAACTGAGGTCAAAGAATACTATCTACACATCTGCAAATTATCCAGTTATCAAAGCTCTCTTAATAGTCTGTGGAGAGGTAGTTCTTTCCAAGGCTAACTCCTCTGACCATAGGTGTCTTGCTTAGGTTGTAATGAACCATATTTCATTTTCCCCTGCTTATAAAACACTTGGTTGTGTGTTGGTGCTGAATTTGGATGTAAAAATTCTGAAGTTAGGTGAGATTAGCCTCTCTCCCTTCCCTGCTGCTAAATATTAAATATTTGTTTTCACTTTTCTGTGTATTGGGAATTGGTTTAGAGAGCAACATGGTGACTGTAGTCTTTACTTCTGCAGTATATTTTGCTCTCCGTGTTCTAGTTTTCTTGTTGTACTGATGACCTAAATGTATGCATTACTTGCTGTCTCTTAACTGTAGAAAGATTGTATTTTATTTGGATTTAATTTATTGCATAAAATAATTTAATTACTAATTACTAGAGAAGTGTTGGAAAGACTAATTACATTGTATTTAATTCCTAGCTCTCCTGTCCCTATAGATAAAGTACTGAAGTATTTTTAGCTATATGTTCTAAAATAGAGTTTTTCATATTTTAACAATACATTTTGATCTCTGTCCTTACTGATCTTACTGTCACTGTTTCTTTAAAGTTAATTGTAAGTATTTTCTGCCCCGTTCTTGGCATTTATTTTAAGATTTTTTTTTTCAGTCAGACCTTAGTAGAATCAATATTTACATCTCTTTTAGTAATTGGTACAGTTCTGGTCAAGATGTAATTCTCAAGTGAATTAGTTGTTATATAGTAGTAAAGAACATATTTTTGCACAGAAACAGCTCCCTTTGATAATGATTAGTTGACTCTTGGAAAGAAATTAATTAAACTCAATTTTATATTTTCTTTAATTTTACCATAAATATAGAAGTTTTTGAACAACACATGTTGTGCCCTTTTATATTCTTCAATCTTTTTATCGTGTTCCTATTCCTTAGGATATAGTTTCAGAGGCAGTAAAGTCCAAACTTCCAAGCCAAATCTTTTGCATTGTTCTTTTTTTACCTTTAAAATGAGCAGAGGCCTCAAATCTCTTTGTATATTAAGTTATCAGATTTTTTCCTCTGGAAATGATGGGTTTTTTTCACTTTTCTTCTGTCAGACCTCAGGAGGTATACAGTAAAACATAACAAAAAATACATTTAAATTTTAGACAAGAAGTGCTAGGAAGTCTTATGTCTTTAAATACTACCTTTATTAGAGGTATTGCTATTTATTCATCCTCGTTATTTGTATTTGTATTCTTCCTCATAATTCTAGATATCATCACCTGTATTTTGGTGATTATTTATTTATCTCTTTGGGGCTATGTATACTGATCCTTTCAACTAGTATAATTTCTGGATTTAACTAAATTCATGGTTTTGTATGACGAGTGTTTTTGTGCTGTGTACTCTCTCCTTGACTTTACTTATGGCTCTTCTTTTAAAAGAAGAGTAATAAGATAAAGAGATTAAAAGGGAGGAGTTAAGAGGGAGAAGAAGTATAGCAATTTACAGTTTGAATAACAAGTTTCCAATGGCTGACGATTTCAGTGAAAACAGGAGTCATATAACTCATGAAGAAAAGCATCTCAATGTCATTCACCAGCAGGAGTTTTGAGGAAAAAAAGAAATGTAATTCCTCTCTGATTTAAGGTTGAATATTTCTTCTCTGACACACCTATGGAAATACACATATATTCAGCCTTCAATTTTGTGGACTTTTTTTCTTGTGAGAATAATAATTTATATATTCCACAGCTGGAAATGAATTTGCACTTTTATTTGTTTTGAATCTTAAAAATTATTTCCAAAGAGAGAAAATAAATCTATAGTCAAAAATAGCTAAAATTTAAGGAAATTATGACCATTTTAATAAATTTTCCTTTAGAAGAAAAATTTGTTTATGTCTGTTTATTTTTGTACATATATTTACGGTCTGAGGTCTACTGTGTGTTTAATTTAACTTAGCTGAAGTTAAAAGTGTAGTTTTATTGTAATATCCTCAACCCTGTGAGTTTGCACAGAAGTATTTTCACTGTAACATTTATTATTCTTATGGTATGTAGCATAATTTTATGAATGGTAAAGAATTAATTCTGTTTGCATTGCTACAGAATTGCTTCACAACTTCCTTTTTAAAGGAATTGGGGCTTTATATTTTATTGGAGACTCCCTATGGTGTAAAATAACTCACAATTATGCAAAGTTGCAGGTTAAGAAATACAAAATCACAAGTATTCTGTGATAATCACATTATAAGTTTAAAGAATACATTGTTTTTATAAAGCTGGTGACTCTTTCTTAGACTCAGTGATACACGTCTGCTATGCTCCTCCTCCTTAGAGACCAGTCATCATTCTTGATCATAATTTGCTCCACTTTAGTAGCAAAAGACTGCTACTTGTATATATGCTACTTTTTTGGACCCAAAAGGTTTTTCTGTTGATTTCTTCTACAAGGCAATAGGGACTCTATCACTATATTTTCTGTAGGTACAGTTTTGAAGTATTGTGACTTCAGACTGCCTAACACTTCTTCTGTAAGAGAGAACCTCTTTCTCTATGGATTAGAGCATATAGTAATGACCCCCATGGGGGACTCACACTGGACCATTGAGTAGCTGAAGGACTGCAATCTGTGGAAAGGACACATGCTTAAGTACAGAAGAGTGTGAAGAGTCACCCCCCTTAAAGAGGAAATGTGTGACAGAAAACACTTCTGCTGGAAGACATCCCTGCCCATGGCAGGGGTTCTAGGACTAGGAGGTCTTTAAGGTATTTTCATACAACAAGCCCCAGCCCATCAATCCAGCCTGTTTGGATCCCTCTGTAGAGCTTTCTACTCTCCAGCACATCAACACATCTGCCCAGCATGGAGCTGTTTGTGAAC